GTGCATCTACTGTAGCAATCAAATATAAAACAGTTACCTCCTTGTGGTTTTGGAAAATTCTAACTAGGGTTCCTAATTGTATCCAAGAAGATTCGAGTATCGTGTGCACTTCCTTACCATCCTAGTAAGTAAAATGTGAAACACATATCAAAGTCACACGCAACCATTATGTTTTGAGTTGCATACCGCTTTCTACCTATAAAATGAGGTTGCTTATCTAGAGATATATATGCTTTGATGTGTGTTCCGTCAATTGCTCCAATACAATCCTATTGTAAAATAGTTAATAAAAATATTTTTAGTCACAGATTATTAGAAATATCCTACGAAAATTATTATATGCAACACCCAAGTTTCACTTGTAATTATTTTTTTACCTTGAAATGAGGATAATATTTGCGCTTGCTTCGAATATATGAATGCACACCATTTCTCGGTTGAGGCCTTACCCAATCAACAAACATCATTGCAACAGCTTTTAACACCTTCTGGAAGTATTTTGAAATAGTCTCGTCGGAATGTTGAAATCTTTCTTGGATTTTTCTGTTTCGAATGTCACCGCCAACAATATACAAAAATATTGCAACCTGCTCCTGAACCGAGACTTTTCGTCCAGTTTCAAGGCCATACTTTGTTTGTAACAAATCACACAATTGATAAAATACCTTTCTTTCCATTCGCAAATTTTCAAATATTCTTGTCCGATTCCCTTCTTGTAATTCTACCATCCACTTCCCCCCCTGTTAAACTAGATGTCCTACATGGTTCTTTTATCAAATAATTTGTCGCTTATGTCACTACAACTGTTGCCGTCATAGTTAAAAGCATCTTATTATGTTGTTGGGTTTGCGATGTGCTATCTTCATTTTCAGTATCTTCAACATGGTGATCATCATTCCATTCATCGTTATCACTGTTACTCATCTCCAAAATACCCACTTATTTAAAGGCTTAGTTACTATTACAAGAATGACCTCGCTTTCTTCTAATTAGATTTTAGGCCAAATTAAGCATTATAAATCATCACAACTTCAATAAAAATTAATCTTATAATTTAACTCAAATTTCATTTTCAATTTTAATAATTTAGTCCATACAATTTTAGTCCAATTTTAATTAGGTTATTTCGTTCAAATTAAACATTAAACTTAATGCACTAATGAATAAGAAATGCTTTTGGCTCAAAATGTATAATGCACTAATGAATCATCATATTCACCTCTAGCCAAAAATAATAGGGCCAGTTTCATATCGTTTCATTTCTATGAGAAAATATATATTTTTTAAATTAAAAAAAATTGAAAATCTCACCTCACTTTTTTTTGGGGGAGGGGGGGTTTATCAATGTGGAAAGTTTTGACATTTCCATTTCAACTTCATTTCCTTCACTAGTAACTCTCTGTAGAAAAGGAAGCAATTCATAGAGCCAAATCTTTACAGCTGTAACAACCCAAAAATTTAAGTTGTCCCTTAAATTTTATACTAGTATTATGGTTGTATGTGATGATATATTATGAAATAAATAATAATAAATACAGAATCAAATTTGGCATTGGATTATCAAATATGGGATTAATTAGGATTTATTATTTGGGGCCCATTTAATAGAAATATGGAATTATAATACTAGTTGGGTCAAATTAAAGTTAAAGATACTAAATAAATAAAAATAAAAGTTTGAGTAAATAAATAATAATATTGATAACAACAACAACAACAACAATAATAATAATAATAATAACAATAATAATGGGTGTGGTAGTAAAATAAATAATTAATTTTCTGTTGGCATACGATTGAGTGTAATTTAACTAGGGATTAGTTTATTTATATAGTTATGTTAGAAAACTAGGCCAAAGTGTAATTATCTTAAATATTTATTAAAGATAAGTATAAATCCATATAAATTATGATCAAATTAGGGGGAGGATTCGCGCTGGCCACGTGTTGGATTGAAATCCCGACTCAGTTGCCGAAAATGGATCGAAGAAACCGAGAAAATTTTGAGGATTGTTTGGATTGTGGTTGTTGTTGAGAATAAAGAACTTTCTGATTCATTGTAATTCTTGGAAAAGAAGACAGAGATGTAGAGATTGTTACCCAATTTTAGAGAGGGAGTGGCTTTTATCGTGATAGGTAGGTTCAATTTGTCCATATTCTTGGCATTTACTCTGAAAGGTAGGTTCATTTTTTCCATATAAAGTATGGGTATCAATGTGGAAAGTTTTTACATTTCCATTTCAACTTCATTTGCTTTACTAGTAACTCTCCATAGAAAATCAAACAATTCATTGAGCCTAATCTTTAGAGCTATAACAAACCGAAAATTTAAGTTGTCCTTTAAATTTTATACTAGTACGATGGTTGTATGTGCTGATATATTATTAAATAAATAATAATAAATATATAATTAAATTTGGCGTTGAATTATCAACTATGGGATTAGTTTGGGATTATTTGTGGCCAAATTGATAGAAATATGGAATTATAATACTAGTTGGACCAAATTAAAGTTAAAGATAGTAAATAAATAAATATAAAAGTATGAGTAAATAAATAATAATATAGCGATCCCAGTTTTCCCTTTCTTTATTTATTGTATTCTGGACTTAGGTTCCGTGGAGTTGATGGTTGTATGTCTTGTTGTCATCCTTTACTTCCCTATGCTTGAGTTTTAGGATGTGTTGGGAGTGTTTCGAACAGGTGGGTTGAGCCTTAGTTCATATCCTTGTGCGCTCGAGCGGAGATTCCATACTTCCAGCATCTCGTGTCTCTACAAAAGTACTGCAGGCTTGTTTTTCACGCTCGAGCGGGTCGCACTCAAGCGGGCCTTTTGGCGCTCGAGCGGGTGTTCACTGTCTGAGAAAATACTAGGAGTCGAGAATCCATGCTTGAGCAGACTGGTTTTCGCGCTCGAGCGGATGTGTTTTATTTTTGTGTCTTGGAGCTCGAGCGGGTCCAGTTTTTGTGCTTGACGCTCGAGCGTCCTATTATCCGCTCGAGTGGATAATGTGTATATCAGTTGGCAGCTGGGCATTTTTGAATTACTTTTCACTTTTCATTCTCTCTCTTACTTTCCCAAAAACCGATTTTGAGAGCTCCTCTCTCTAGAAAATACCTTCTCTCTAGGGATTGATCTAGCTAGAGTGACCTACTCTCTTAGTGCCTTTGTAAAAAGTGTGTTGATCATCGAGGGCTTCGTTTTGATCCGAAAAGTTTGGAGTTTGGAGCATTTTCGATTTCTTCATCTTCTCCGTTTGAGCTCTAACTTCGAGGTAGGGATATCCTACTCCATCTTATGAGCTTGGTCTTTAAAATTTTGGCATTTTGATATGTTGGGGGTTGTTGGCTAATTTTGAGAAGGTTTTGGGGTCTTCGTGTAATTTTCAAAAGATGGGGTTTCAAACACATAAACCTTTATGTATGTAATACATTAGAAGATGAACTTGGTGTTGGATTATTAATGGAAAATGGAACCTTAGGGTTGGAATTGTAAATATGGAAAAAAGCTCTAATTGTTATGATAAATTAATTCGTATAATTAATTTTGGGAAATGGGAAATTGAATAGGAAATATTCAAATTGGAAAGGTATGGGATTAAAGGGTATAGTTGGATTAATTTATCGCTCACCTAGGCAAAATGTTGATATTTTATCCATTTGGTGCATTTATTTTCTATTTAGAAATAGCTGCTTTGGGCTATCGGTGGAGGATAGTCTTGATTATTGTAGACAATGCATGATGATTAGGCAAACTAAAATTAATCAATTGAATGTGTCATCGAATATGGCTGTGGAATAATACATTAACCTTATGTATTGATTGATTATGTATATGATCTGTGTTTATAGACATTGTGTTGTGTGGGAGGAGATAGGAAATGTACTCCACGGTTTAGGGGAAGATAGAGGATGGACTTCTAAACTGGAAATTGTTTGACATTGATACAGCACTAAAATGTGTATCATTTGTGAAGTATGGAAGTGTTTCGTTATATTGATACAACACTACAATGTGTATCATTTGTGAAGTATGGGAGTGATTTTATGTATTATTGTTACAGCACCAAAATGTGTATCCATCATGAATTTTGAAAGTATTGTGGTAATGAGCTATAATCTCATTAAATTATTTGGCCAGGTTCTGAGTCTTGTTTTCAAACTTAAAGTTGAATAAGAAATGGAAACTGAAATGTAACATGGACATGATTGTCATGAAACCGTGATATAATATAAGTTGGAATATAGGTGTGGACCATCTATCGAATGCTATTATTTTAGTCATTGTTTATGCTTGGTTTAGTATATTTCTACTGGGCTGTGGCTCACCCTATATGGGACATCATTTTCAGGTACAGGTAGCTTGCCACCTCCAAGGACATAGCTTCGGAGGCTTGAAACTGTTGGGCTATTTTGTGTTTTTGGTTGTATTACATGTATATCAAGCCAAGGGCTTATTTTTGTGTAGAGTTAGTACTCTCTTGTTGTAACCAAGTATTGGCTTGGAAAGTTGTAAGCCCATAGGGCATTTACTTTTGATGTCACCATGTAATACATTTTGTAAGAATACTCTGACGTTTGTAATATAATATTTCTTTCCAGTATCTTGAATGTATGATATTATGGGTTTATTTTGAGGGCGTTACATAGGCTCTATGAATTCCTTGATTTTCTATGGACAGTTACTAGTGAATGAAGTGAAATTGAAATGGAAATGCCTAAACTTTCCACATTGATACCCAACTTTATATTAAAAAAATGAACCTACCTTTCAGGGTAAACGCCAATAATGTGAAAAAAATGAACCTACCTTTCACGATAAAAGTCACTCCCTCTCTAAAATTTTGTAACAATCTTTACATCTCTGTCTTTTTTCCCAAGAATTACTGTCACACCCCAAACTTGCCCCTAAAAGTTTGGGCATGACCTACACAGAAACGGACGCATAACCTGGTATACATATCATATGGGGCCTGAACGGAAGCATTTACCAATATAAATTAACATAAATAAAAGAACTGCATCCATTGAGCGACCACTATCATGCCAGGATCGCAGACAGAACATAAGACAAATAAACATACAGTGACGTGCACCAGAGAGTTAGTTATGTACATATATATATACAGACCCAGCCCTTAGAATTGGGCGTAAAACAACATGGACAGGCAAAGGAATTATATATACATCAACCTTAAGCAAACAATCAGAGTGTAAAATCAAAAGTTTAGCAAAAAGGCTGCCTTCACTTAAGTGCCTGGATACTCTGAGGTTGACAAAAGAGGCACGGATGCCATGGGTTAAAACTGACCTCCAGGTGGAGTGCCTACAGAAACTGACATAAGACAAAGTGAGTCAAGCTCAGTGAACAGTAGTACATAAACAATTTAAAGATTAACTTAATTTACTTACAATGTACACATTTTTCTAATTAGATGAGTAAATGCAAAAATCCTGTGGTTAGTTTGATTCTGTACACATTTCAGAACAGTCTTCTCGGTTCATAACTTCATAGGTTGGCCCTTGGCCTGATGGGTTCACACATTCACAAATTAGCCCTTGGCTTAACTTAGATACATAACTTCACAAATTGGCCCTCGGCCTCTGAGATTCATAGATTCACAAGTTACAGATTTATACTTCACAAGTTGGCCCTCGGCCTCATAATTTCAGAATTCACAAGTTGGCCCTCGGCCTCATAATTTCAGAATTCACAAGTTGGCCCTCGGCCTCATAATTTCAGAATTCACAAGTTGGCCCTCGGCCTCATAATTTCAGAATTCACAAGTTGGCCCTCGGCCTCATAATTTCAGAATTCACAAGTTGGCCCTCGGCCTCATAATTTCAGAATTCACAAGTTGGCCCTCGGCCTCATAATTTCAGAATTCACAAGTTGGCCCTCGGCCTCATAATTTCAGAATTCACAAGTTGGCCCTCGGCCTCATAATTTCAGAATTCACAAGTTGGCCCTCGGCCTCATAATTTCAGAATTCACAAGTTGGCCCTCGGCCTCATAATTTCAGAATTCACAAGTTGGCCCTCGGCCTCATAATTTCAGAATTCACAAGTTGGCCCTCGGCCTCATAATTTCAGAATTCACAAGTTGGCCCTCGGCCTCATAATTTCAGAATTCACAAGTTGGCCCTCGGCCTCATAATTTCAGAATTCACAAGTTGGCCCTCGGCCTCATAATTTCAGAATTCACAAGTTGGCCCTCGGCCTCATAATTTCAGAATTCACAAGTTGGCCCTCGGCCTCATAATTTCAGAATTCACAAGTTGGCCCTCGGCCTCATAATTTCAGAATTCACAAGTAAATTTCCCTTTATGATTCATTACATGTAGCCATAGTCATCTTACATATAACAAAGTATTAATAATAATTATTTACAGAAACACATGTGTCGTTACAGTACTATTCATGGGAATAGAACAATTCGCACCATAACGTGAGTCATATAACAATGTTATTGATATTCAATTCTTTGACGTATAAGGAAACCCATGGTTCTGTTCGATTTTCATTTCGTTAATCCATTTTAGGCAGATGTCTATGTCATAAAACATGTATCGAACTAAATAAGGCTGTAGGAGTCCAGGATAGGACGTTCAAAATATCATGTTCCCATTAAGCGGGGTTTATATTCATAATCCCTTCTTACCAACCAGTTGCATAATATTAATAATTCTTTTGCGGAGTTATAGGTAATTTACAGGTTATTATACCTTAAGGATAACCATTAACCATAACCAGAATGTAGAGTAGTTTCAGCGTCATACCGAAGTGCACATAATCTTTCAATGTTCTCACCGATCCCTAAACAACATAAATGCTTACAAAGAACAGTGCGTTAACAATAAGAATTATTTGCGGTAAGTAAACGTACGATTGCAGAACTACTACTCACAGTGATTGGTTCCCGGTGGTAATAGGACGATATCCTCGTCTCGACCTACAAGTACAGTGCACAACACATAATATGAGATTATACTCGCTCATTTACTTATTCTCTTTGATCATTCAATCAATTAGCCATGGCGGTACCAAGCTCATTATTTCTTAATAAGTTATACTCCATGTCACAGAAACAGGAGAAATCAATGGAAAATGGTTTAGGCGAAGAAATGGTATAAAATTAGTTGACAGAAAGTGAACAGTTGTCACTAATTTGGGCATAACTATTTTTGTATTTAGAATTTGGGAGTGAGACCACTTCCATTGGAAACTAGACTTCCGGGGCTTGATTTTAGGCTCAAGAATCACTCAAAACGGAGCTCCGAGGCAAAAGATATGCTTATTCAAAGATGGCGGGACAAAGCTGTCTCCCGCACGTGCGGGAAACAGGGCCGCACGTGCGGCTTTGGGCAGTGTGTAGTCCGAAAATGGCTCTTTTTGCTCCAACACTTGGTTTTTCCATTTTTAAGCTTGGTTCTTAACATAAATCACTCAAAAACATGTAGAATTGCCCCTATAACATGATAAACTAACATCAACCAAGTGTAATTTCATTTCAAACAATTCAATCTTTGTCTCAAAGTTCAAGATTAATGCTTAATCTTTCATGATCTTCAAGGTTCTTAAAAACACAACCCACAACCCACAAATTCACATGATTCTTGCATAATCTAAAGTTTATTTCATGATATCCATGAGCTTGAGCTCCACTCATAAACAAAATTAAAGAACTCAATTTCTAATTCCTCAAATTAGCTCAAGTAAATACATAGATAAACCTTAACCCCAAATGGGTTTAAATCTTCCAAGATCTCTATGATTTTACCAAATTGATACTTTAAACCTTTCCTTCAATTCTCTTCCTTCATCTTCAAAGCCTCCATGGATGTTGAGAAAATTGACACTCTTCCTATAGCGATCCCGGGTTTACCCTTGTTGTATAGTGATCCGGACATGTGTCCGTTTCAATTCTCTTCCTTCATCTTCAAAGCCTCCATGGATGTTGAGAGAATTGACACTCTTCCCTCTCTCCCTTTCACGGTTTCCTCTCTCTCTCTTTAGATATTTTGTTTTTTGACTACAAAAGTATGAGTTCACCACTTATATAACTCATACACACCTATATATTAATTATACCAGCTTTATCACAAATAAGGAGGGCCAAACACGCCCTTACAAATCGCGAAAAATTAAATTTCAATTAAACTTTCCAGATGACTCTAAAAATTATGATGATCATAAATATGTCCCCTATTCTGGTTTCTGAAGCCTCTAAGGCCTTCAATTTGCAGTACAAAGTTAACCACCCAAACGCACATTAACAAATCAAACAAATTAGATTTCCAATTAGGTTTCCCAAATAGTTCTAAAAATTTTCATTAACACATCCAAGTCCTCAATTGTGATTTCTGAACCCGTAAAGGTCGGTAATTTCAATTTTACAGTCGTGGCTCAACAAATAATTCCTCAATTTGAACACATATCAATAAATCAAAATGCATTAACCCAATAGGCCGTAAAGGTAATCTCTAATACGGATTTTGGGGTCGTTACATGCCTATTTCATGGACTTGATGAACATAATTTTTCAACCGTATCTAGATAAGTTTGTGATTATCTTTATAGATGATATCCTGGTGTATTCTAAGAATGAGGAGGAGCAAAGAGAACACTTGCAAATAATTCCTCAATTTGAACACATATCAATAAATCAAAATGCATTAATCCAATAGGCCGTAAAGGTAATCTCTAATACGGATTTTGGGGTCGTTACATCCTCCCCACCTTAAAAAGTTTGGTCCTCCAAACTTGATTCACCCTGCCACAAGTCCAGTTTCGTCTTGGGTACACAACATTTCTCAATTATTTAACAATTCACAATCCTATATAGTCAATTTCAATGGAGTTTGCTCCAAGGGTCACAAGTAATTTATCTTTACTAGCTAATTGGTAACCCAATTAATAAAAATACTCAATATCATCAAAACATCATCTCATTATTCATGAATCTTGTACATTTCAATTTATTACTCACAGAAATGAATTCATTCGAGTATTCGATTGCATGCAACTCATAAACTATTAAACATAATTCAAATTCTTTAGGTTCACAACAACCCCCATTATCGTAATTCCTCAAAGGTTAAGGAGACATTTACTACATACTCACGTTTCAAAGGCATATGCTTCTTACAACAATTAAATTTAGAATAACACATATGTTCTAAATCAACGACTTCGTGACTTCTGTCTTACCTGTTATAAATTATCAGTTCAAATCAAATTTCTAACAGACTCCAAAGAACAGCTCAAATCCCATATCAAGGAATTACATGTTCAGGGTAAATTATTAGTAAAATCAAATACGGCTCAAACCTTTATGGTTAACAGGCATTAATAGTTCGTATACAAATCTCAGCACTTGGTAATTCCTATAATAGAAGTCACTTAGTGATAAGCTGGTAACCCAAGCTATACATCATTTCAACAGACATGAATAAGTCGCGTAGGCATGTAGTCTCTAGCTTCACAATTGTTCTTTATATTTTCCATTTTTGAAAACACAACAAAATCATTTCGTTATATGGATTTAAAACCATATATACTAATTCGTAACAAGATCAGAATGATGGGAAGAAGAATCCCAATCAATATCGTTAATTCTTCACAGTATTACTTCTAAATACAGTAACACAAAGAGAAATCAAGTAGTTATGACTGTACCAAAGTAAATAACCTATAGTGTTATAAATTCACGCAAACATACCATTGTAGACACTTGGTCATACCGTCATAAATTCAATCGAACATTAAATACAACTATAACAACCATTATTTTGAGCAAAGGGAGCCACTCAAAACAAAGTCAAAAATCAAATTCAAAATCATGCTTGATTAATCAGTCATAACCGTAAGGTCATAGATTTCCTTAAGTTTACAGTATTCACATCCATCCAGATTCCATATTGGCTTGAAATTCAACAATTTAGCGACAAAATAATTTGACCACTTAATATCAGAGTTAGAACACTTAGCCAGATCAGTTTAATAAAATAAGAAATCAACTCGGAATCACGTCGCACATATTATACAAATCAATATAAATACACCGGAGGAGGTAAATGTCCAGTACATACCGTTAACTCGCCATCAATATAGAATATGCCCATGCCCACTCTTCTTCTTCTTCTTCTTCTTCTTTTTTTTTTTTCTAAAGTTCACAGTGTCGTGCAGAACAATTGCAATATCTAACATTTGCACATTTACGCAGAAGTATATCACAGAAATGATTTCTCAATCTTAAGACATTAGTATACAGAAACAGAATTTTTAATTCTTACAGTAACTTATTCGTTTATCAATCATTTAGTTTGATCTCGAAGTAGTCCATAACTGTCTATCTTGTTACAAGTCTCATGTAAACAGACACGTAATGTGGGTAAGGTCCTCCATGTTGTTCAACCATTCTTTATAAGAAATCCTGATTACGGATTACAGTTTACACATAACAAAATAGATTACGGATAACAGAGTTAGCTTTCAGATTTCAACTTCAAATTTCATATTACAGATTTCAAATCGCAGGTTTCCATAAACAAATTACACACAATTCTAACAGGGGTCATCATATGCCTAACTTCTTCTTACAGCCAATCGTACTCAGCACAATTTCAGTTAGCACACAAACACATTTTTATCAAAATACTCATGTGTAGTAATTGCTCGAAATCACAGATCTAAACATTGTTGTGGCAAAGAGGACTATATCATTTTCTTTAGTCTTAGAAATATTCTATACTTAGAGTTTAATCACTTCACCTAAACAGATGGTAAGTAACTTCCAATCCACAAATAACAACCGATTCCTTACATCTTATTTAATCATTGACAAATGGATTGTCTTACCGATCAGCTCGAACCCTTACCACGCTTTTGCAGTGTAATTTTGTTGATTTAATCGCATCTGCATGTCTTATTATGTTCTACATAACAATCATTCACAATATACACAAAGAATATATAATGGACATGGGTTATAATCGTTACGTTAACAGAGTACATTTAACGTTGCTATCAATTTTTCCATTTTCATTCAAAATGTCATGCATGATGCCTAAGTCTTTTCTAGACACCCTAAGGCTCAATGGACTCGTGTGTGAGATAGCAACTCGTGCTCTGATACCACTTGTCACGCCCCAAACTTGCCCCTAAAAGTTTGGGCATGACCTACACAGAAACGGACGCATAACCTGGTATACATATCATATGGGGCCTGAACGGAAGCATTTACCAATATAAATTAACATAAATAAAAGAACTGCATCCATTGAGAGACCACTATCATGCCAGGATCACAGACAGAACATAAGGCAAATAAACATACAGTGACGTGCACCAGAGAGTTAGTTATGTACATATATATATACAGACCCAGCCCTTAGAATTGGGCGTAAAACAACATGGACATGCAAAGGAATCATATATACATCAACCTTAAGCAAACAATCAAAGTGTAAAATCAAAAGTTTAGCAAAAAGGGCTGCCTTCACTTAAGTGCCTGGATACTCTGAGGTTGACAAAAGAGGCACGGATGCCATGGGTTAAAACTGACCTCCAGGTGGAGTGCCTACAGAAACAGACATAAGACAAAGTGAGTCAAGCTCAGTGAACAGTAGTACACAAACAATTTAAAGATTAACTTAATTTACTTACAATGCACACATTTTTCTAATTAGATAAGTAAATGCAAAAATCCTGTGGTTAGTCTGATTCTGTACACATTTCAGGACAGTCTTGTCGGTTCATAAAATTCACGCAAACATACCATTGTAGATACTTGGTCATACCGTCATAAATTCAATCGAACATTAAATACAACTATAACAACCATTATTTTGAGCAAAGGGAGCCACTCAAAACAAAGTCAAAAATCAAATTCAAAATCATGCTTGATTAATCAGTCATAACCATAAGGTCATAGATTTCCTTAAGTTTACAGTATTCACATCCATCCAGATTCCATATTGGCTTGAAATTCAACAATTTAGCGACGAAATAATTTGACCACTTAATATCAGAGTTAGAACACTTAGCCAGATCAG